TGTGTGTGTGTGTGTGTCCGTCCTTCCTTCCTTCTCCTTTCACTGACACGGGCTTTTCTATCAATCAGAGGCTGAAATCTTCCAGAAGAAACTTGATGAAACCACAAAGTTACTCAGAGAGCTCCAAGATGCTCAAAATGAACGACTGAGTACAAAACCACCTCCCAATATGATTTGTCTTTTGGGTCCATCTTACAAAGAAATGCATCTGGGTGAGTATAACTTTTAATTGGTGTTTAGAAAACAATTAGGTCAGTTGGAATTTGTATAAAATTATTACAGGTAAAGAACTTCCTAGTAAATTTGTACATTAGATGAAAGTCCTGAAGAGTGACTTTTTGGTTAAACTGTTATCTTTGCAAACCTGTAATCTTTAGTGTGAAACTGGAGGTGAATTTGTTGAGTGTTGTGTTAAAATAGGACAGTCAGAACAACTGGGGCCCCACTTGTCAATTCTGGCCAAGGAGCACTTAATCAGGTGGTTCCTGTTTGATTTTCCTTCTGAATATTATTGTTTCAGATAGTGGCATTCCAGCTCCTTCAGTTGATTGCAATTGATATGCAGTGCACCACCTTGGATTGTTAGAGTTCAATCATAACTTTTTAACATCTAACATTTAGTTGCTTATGCTATTAAAACCTTGTACATATGAGGATTGTGTTATTTTAGTGTCAAATTCTCAGAAGTGTGGTATAAGCACAATACAGAGGGCCTGGGTACTAATCCAAACTCTGATATTGCCTTGAAGCAAGTCTCCTTTCTGCTTTATTTCCCTATTTAGAAATTACTAATCTGTAAAAGTAACTGCCTTCTTGGGTTATTGTGTGCGACGCATCTAAACAGTTGTACAAGTGTGAAGTGTTCTGTTGTTAGCTAAGGTCAAGTAACTATATGAGAATTATAGCTTAATTCTAAAATGTCATGTCAGTTTGAGAGGCTTTTAGCTCTTGTGCATTCTTGTAGTGCATTTCTTCTTCCATTAGCCACATATATCTTACCAATTCCATGCAAGTCTAAAGTAGACCAAATCCTCCCTTTCTTGAGGGAAAAAAATAGCTTATGTGAAGTACTTTACATCTGTGGGATCTGAGAACTACAGCTTTGAAAGTGAAAAGGGGCAGTATACATGGCCTCTAGTTCACATGGAGGATTGAGAGCCAAAGGCAAAATACCCAAACCCAAAGATCAGTGCCCTGAGCGCCACAGGGTCATTTGTCATTGGTTTTCCCCCAGCAGCTTGCACTGTGACTCTTTTGATATGGGGCACACAGTTAATGGTGCTTTAAATCTGCCTAGCTTCTGTTGCTTCTCAAAGGGGTCTTAGTAAGGAGCTGTTTCATCTCTTCTTCCTTTCTCCAGCTCACCCTTATCCTCCTTTCTCCCCCACCCCAAAAAAGAGTCTGCTGGTAAGTTACAGTTTTGGAATGTTCAAGGAAAATGCTGCATTTTCTCTCCCTCTGGTTCCTAGGGCCTTTATATATGATTAATGCCCATCTGCTCCCCTGTAACACCAAGTGCAACAAAGGAGGAGCAAAGAGCCACTAGATTTAACTGTCTGAGTGACATTAAGATGTCTCTGCTATATGCTATTATAGGAGTTTATTTAGTTTTTATATAAATACAAATTCACCAAAGCTAAATACTATTTACAGCTGTGCGGTTGTAGCTGAAAGGCAGACTTCAACTCTTCTGGGCACTTTGTAAAAACACAAAATGAATTTACATTATTGTCACTTTCTAGCGGAGAGAGTGACCAATAATTTAAAAGAACTCGCGCAACAAGTGACTCCAGGCGACATTGTAAGCACGTATGGAATCCGAAAAGCAATGGGAATTTCAGTTCCTGTACCTGACACTGAAGCCAGCTTTGTGGATTTAACAGATGGTGAGTATAGAGTGAATTTAGACATGTGTTGCAGTAGAGCAAAACTACATCTGCAAGTCATTGGAGTATTGTTGGTAGCAACTGCAGAAGTTAAGGTGGAGCCCCAACTTCTGGTCTCTCTCTCTCTTTCTTCTTTAAATAATTTTTGGGTGGAAATTTGCTATGATAGTTCTCAGCCCAAAGGTAACTTTTTCGTTTAGAGAAAAGTGTACAATTGGTGCAACCACTTAAATTAGTAGAGTGAAAAAAAGTTTTCCTGTCCGTGCATGTTGCGATTTTTGCATTTGCACAGCTGACTGAAGATGAAAACAGCACCTGTAGAAAAAATTGGGTTGACTGCTCTTAACCATTTTTAATATTAATTTGGCATGTATGCATGAGAATTTTTCCTTTTTTAAGCTTTCCATTTAAGGATGCTCAGTTATAAAGCTGCCACATACTGAAAAATAGTGAAAAGAACAGGAATTAAAGATTTAAGCTTCAGTAATGTCATGTTGTGGTTGGCAAGTCAGTCATGAAATCACTAAAGTTTTCTATTGCAACTTACTGTATTTATACTATATTGCATTTGTTTGCCTTAAATACATACCTCCCTTTTTATGGCCTAGGCTATACAAGGTAACATGGATATTGACACTGCAACAGAAACTTTGACTTTTTTTGAATGAGCAGATTTCTCAACCTGGACACCACATTAAATGCTAGTTTTTCAATTTCATTTAGTATTTTTAGGTCAGTCTTGTTTAAAAAATATTTACTACATAAATAGCAGGAAAAAACAATGAATAGTGTAACGTGTTATAGCGTACAATGCTGTACACACCATCCCTCTTGTTTGTAATAGGTGTTAGTTAAGCTATGCTACTGAGTGACAAAGTAAAACCATTTCTTGATAGTTTTTACTCTGAAGCAAACTTTTCTAGCAGTTTTGCATATTTCTTAAATGAAAAACAGACATCAATTACTCATACTTCTGAGATCAATACATTTATAAAATATATTTATGGTAATGCCCCATCTATTAACAGGAATAGAGCTAGAAATATTATGTCTTAATATCCTAGTATAATTATTAACTCTTTAATACTAGTGGATTCACTGCATAAATTGATTGATTCATGCTTGACACAGGAAATTGACTTCAGGAGTAATAAGAAAATTAGTATACACATCTTTAAGGGATGTTGAATGGGATAATTGACCAGTCTGTGTGGAATAACTTTTTTTTTCAGATTGTCAAGAATCTAAAAAGGCTGCCACCTTCAGTGGAAATGAATCTGGTCCAATTGGAATTTGAAACGTCAGTTGTTTTATGTTATATATTTCTATTGGGTCCTATTAAACTACTAGATTTAAATTTTGTTCAGGATGTATTCACTGAACATTTGTACATTGTGAGTTAGAGGAAATATTTTGTCTATTAAATTTTGGAACTCAAACTAAATCAAAGGTCATGATGGTTTCATGTTAGACGTCAGTTACTTCTAATGCATACACATCTGATCGTGAATTTGGATGGACTAACTCATCATTTTCAAGGGATACATCAGACTATCTACAGCCTCAGGTGTCTCTTGCTGCATGAATGTTAGTTTTATATTTTGAAAAAGTTCTCTTTGCAATAATAAAAGGGCTAGAGCCTGAAATGCTTGTAGAGGCTAGAGCCCAACGTAATTGTGGCTACATAATGATCTGCCTATACCACTACTTATCCAGCAATATTCCAGAGCCATTTACAAACTTTCAGATTTGGCCCACTTGAAAATTTCAGCACTTGAATGCATGCAAACTTCCTTTTGAATAAGTATACAGCCTTTATGGGTGCAAAGGAAATACAGCTTTCTAAATAGAAGCTGATATAATTTAATGATAATTAGCGGAAGATGCTATATTGAGGCTGTATAAATGTAGCCTAGGCTTCTTTCATGACCTTGCTCTGTTTATAAAAACTCTAGTTGGTTAAAAGTGATGATGTTTCTGCTACTTATTGCAGCTATCAGGATTATAGGTTAAGAATGACTAGCCAAGATGTGATTTATAGGGCAAGTGTCAGATAGGCAAAATGGATTACTCTTGAGTAAGGTCATTAAACAGTGACATTAACAAATCTCTTGCCAAAAGGTTCCATAAACCTTAAGAGGGCTTGACCACTTTAAGTTTCAAACTCCCAGACTGTGGACTCTGCTAAAATAGCCACCTTGGAAGTACCTGCTAATAGAAGCTGGACATCCTTAAATCAGTTGGAATAGCTGAGCTGGTGTGGGAGAGAGACAAGAAAAGTTTATACTGTACCAGTTCAATTTTAATGGCTGCCATTCTCCACTGATCCTTAGTCAGCAAAGTAGACTAAGTTGAGGATGAGTGAGACCTGCCAGCCCCCAGCATCACTCTGATTAAGTATGTCCCACTTCTTTTCCCAAGGTAGGTTTGCACCGTCATTGCATATCATGGGCCCACTCCTTCTCACAGCCACCAGATTTTCCCAAGTCCCTTTTTCCACAACTTCTCTCATTTCCATTATCCATAATCCTGCAATAATACATTGTTTATTCCTCTTTACTTTGGGAATACAATTTCCCCTCTCACCTTTTGTCTCATACCTGTCTCAGGTTCCCAGCAGCCCTCAACCATCTTGACAAGGAAATACTTGAAGGGCACCTAATCAGCAATTACACAGTTAGTGGAGATGGGCTGCACATGATCTAAGTGAATTGGTAGATGGTTGAAGTTAAGTGGTTGTGTGAATTTGGAGTGTTCAAGTGCTCTACGCTGACAGCTCTACCAGAAATGCTGCAAAATGCTGTATGGCTAGACATGCAGTTACTCCATACTCTAAGTTAGAGTATTTGCTTAGATACATAGTGCAGTAGGAGATGAGAGGCCTCAGCCCACTCTGGGTAAATTAGAGAAACTACTCTCCAGTTCTCAAAAGATCAACCATGAGTTCATGACTACATATTTTCAAGTGAAGATTTCTCTTACATGCACTGAGTTGTTCAAGATAGAAGAGTCTAGTTGCATTACAGGTTAATGAAATATGGAAGGAAAAAATATGAAAGCTCATGTAGGAATCTGCTTTAGATGTTACATTCCAACAAATAATTACAAAGCAAGCAAAGTTTCAGAAAGGTCTTTATTTTAAAGTAAAAAAAAAGTTTGTTCTTTCTGTGCAGTAGATAATTTACTCCATCATTAAAAGTTACAGTATACCATCAGCTTTAAATTAGATAAAATGGCATTTTGTGTTTAAAGACTTTTCAGTTTTTAAAAACAATAATTCCTCAATTTTCTAGACTTTTTTTTTAAAGTCCTAATAGGCAAGTTTCACAGTTCTGGTAAAAGCATTCTATATTGTTAAGGCTCCATTTAAGACTTTAGCCAAAGAAATTACCCTTCTCACACCCAATCTAATCATTTTAAAAAATATTAAGTCACTCCAGGTTTCGCCCCCCCCCCCCGCCATATTCATGGCTTTACACTCACTTTCCAATGTTTCTGTGGGTGAGTCTTTCATCTAACAAGGTGAATTGAGGATACAAAGTGCTGTTAAATACTCTACAAAATTTCAAAGAGCAGTATGACTTAAGTTGATAATGTCCCTTTCAGATCATTCAGCAATACAACCGGCAACAGAAGGACAATCCTACTTCATCTAGTCCAAGAGCTACAAGCTACTGAAAAATACTTTACACCACTTCCGTAATTGAGACCAAACTACACCCAAGCAGCATGTTATTAGCTTGAATGGCAATACAAAGCAGTTCAGAATGTTGTTAGATATGGTTTAGTTCCACAATCCTAATTACATCTAAATCTCTAGCACTATTGTGGACAGTGCCATCATTTCAGAACTGGTTCTATCCATAAGCAAACTTCATGATTCAAAATCTTGAGGCAGTATGGTCTGTCAAACTGAAGTACTGTATCAAAGGCCGCTGAATGAAGCCTTCTATTCAGAAGCATTCAAGCCTCTTATAAAAACAAAATAAATTAACATCTCAAAACACATGCTTGTTAAATGTCTACCATCACAAATACACAATGTAAAAGCAATAGGGAACTGAAAGCTATTTGACAGAAATATACAAAAGGATACTAAATTATACTGACCTTTTTTATTAGCACAAAGTTTAAGTATTAAACTAGTTAATATATTATGAATCTGCTGACAGAAAGGAAACAGCCAACCTCAAACTACAGTTGTCTAATATACTACTTCCTGTAGGAGACTGCAGCAAAAGTAGTTTTGACCCCCCCCCCCCCCACTAAGGCTTTAAAAACTAAGTTTTTACGCCACAGTAGGACATTACTCAGATTTGTTCCTGTCATGGAACATAGGCACTTTCCAAGAAATTACACAGTAATTAGAAAACAGCAGTGGTGCAGGCAACAACGATTGTTAAAGAGACCATTTGGAGTCATCTGCCCTCATACTAAAATTGAAATATTAGCAAATGCCGCTTTGGGTGGTGTAATAAATCATCATCTGAACATAGCACTTTATACTGAACAAAATAACACTTGGATTTATTTTAACCACTTTACTTTCTAGTCACAATATATACAGGGAATGGAGTGTAAAAAATCCTTTCCTGATAAATGTTTATAATTGAACACCGGCTGTTAGTATCTCAGAAAGAAAGATCTCTTCCTCACAACCCAAATTTTGTAGGAGTATGTCTTGACATGATTATGTATAGTAGAAAGTTGTTAGTTGAAAATTTAAAGCCATAGCTAAAACTAATTATACTCACCTGAATAAACTTTAAAGGAAAAATGTGAACATTAAACAAATAGAATTGGACTTACTATAAATAACTAACACCCACCCTGGAATAAACTAAGTGGAGTAGCTCTCAGGAGTATGATTCTATTATGCAGGCCATGATGAAACATTTCCACTATAAAAGTGATTTTTTTCACACATCCTTCTGTAATATTAAATAATAAAATCCTTTAGTTTTATAACCTGTGTTGTCTTTTAAAAGGAGCAAGGCTTTAAACAAACCCAGCCAGCGACATGTGAATCGCATAGGACAATCAGATAAAATTCAGGGTTGTGCTATGTATAAAACAGTTACCTAAATTGAGCATACAAAACATATGCACAGATACAGAGTAATTAGAGGCACAAAATACAAGTTGAGTGAACATCATATTGGCTATCCTGTTTTGAAAGTTTGTCCCTTGGCTCATTGCACTAACTCAGATTAAAGAAAAAACATTTTTATTTGACCTATCGTAAAATAGCTATAATAAAGTATATCAGATTCTACCTAGTTCAAAAAAAATTTTTTGCCAAGAATTTCAATAAAGATGTACTCCTTATTCATGTTGGTCCTACTACTAAAATGTTGTGCGCTCTGGTTCTGAAGAGCTAATTAAAGAGGGGGTGCCATTTCTGGCAAATAGCTAGTTAGCCTAAAGCTGAATACTTGTATATTTCTTAAAAATTAATGTACATCTATATCTGTACTTTCCTTGTGAGATACACACCTCACGAGCGGTAAAATGCTGAAGATCAGCTGTATCCTTACTCTACAGAGAAATAGTGGCCCCAAGTCACATTTGCCTCAAGTTTTTTGGAACCTATGCAATATGGAGCTCAGTTTGATTAGCTATTATTTCCAGAGCTGTCCCAACCCTTTAAAGAATGCTAGTGCAAAATGGTCAAAAGAAAAACATGTTGAGGGCATTAATTCCACAGAGAACATAACAGGAAAAAATATGCATTGAGAACACTGAAACTTCTGAAGATATCAGACATGTCAAATGTTTAGAAACATGCACAGCTCTGAGAACAGAGGCGTAGGTGATTAGTTTGGAAAGGTTGTCAAAGGGGTAAGTGCCACCTAGGTTCAAGTTTGCCTCAGGTCACAAATTGGAAAAATAAATACAGTTGGTCTTGTATTTGCCTTTATCACAAAAACACTACACATTGGGCCATCCTGATTATCACTACAAAAGTTATTTTTTTTTCTCCTGCTGATAATAGCCCACCTTCATTGATTAGTCTCGTTAGAGTTGGTATAGCAATACCATTTTTTCATGTTCTCTGTGTATATGTATTTTCCATTGCATGCATCCGATGAAGTGGGTCTTAGCCCATGAAAGCTTATGCCCAAATAAATTTGTTAGTCTTTAAGGTGCCACAAGTACTCCTCGTTCTTTTTGCTGATATAGACTAACACTGCTACCGCTCTGAAACCGACACAATTTGAGTGGCTGTTTCTTGTCAAGAGAAAGTCTGAGCAGGAGATAGCTGGCAGGTCAGAATTAAGGTGCATTGAAAGATCTGGTAAGGGAAGTTTGCACATCAGCTGCTGGTATCCTGCCTGACTGGCCAATGCAGTTTATACTTCACCTTCATAAGCACCAATCCTGACTAACATGTTAAATGCAAATTTTGTTAATGACGAGAAAAAAGTTGGGATAGCAATTCTGTATACCTCAGAAACAAATCAGCAGTTTGAGGGACTGGCTGGCCTCATCCAGGCAATGGAAACCAAACAAGAGAACCTCACAAAACACAGTATAAATACATACAGTCAAAGGGCATGATTGCAGTGAATGCAATACTCACATTTCTGTGGTGCTAACATTTACTGTCTCACTACAACATGCACATCCCTAAATGGGCTTTCACTCTCTGGAAATAGTCTGGATTTCTTCAAAGTCAAAAGACTAATTCTGAAGGTCTAAAGTGGCTTACTTCCAATACGTACTAAAACAGTTGTTTTCATCTCATCTAAGAAATGAAATATGGTTTGTCCCTTGGTATAGGGTAAAGAGAGCAAGATGGGTTGTATCCATAATAGAGGTATTTTGAACCAACTTCAGACAAAAATCATTTCCTGTACAACTGCTGATCAAGAAAGGCTTTACATAATGTAAGTTATAGGTATGGGGGAGGCATGAGTTTGTAGAAAAGTCATCAAGGGACAGGGGAACGTGAATTATTGCGCAATTACTCTTTCCAAAAGGAGCTAGAGTATAATCACCATATAATAAACTGTAGTTCGCCTGTGTATTCCTCCCGTCTCCGCATACAGCAGTCTTTTGTCTTGAAAACAGCTTGGCACTAAAGATCATGCATATATGCAGGGTCCAAATGTACTGTCACTTTTTCTTAAGGTCTCTGACAAGTGCTACACTGCTAGCAGATCTAACAAAGAATGAGGCAGTGGAATCATAAGTACGGGATTGGAAGGGACCTCAAGAGGTCATCAAGTCTAATCCCCTGCACTCAAGGCAGGACTAAGTAATAACTAGACCATTCCTGACAGGTGTTTGTCTAACCTGTTCTTAAAAACCTCCAATGACCGAGATTCCACAACCTCCCTAGGCAATTTATTCCAGTGCTTAGCCACCCGACAGTCAGGAAGTTTTTCCTAATATCTGTTTTAACTGGGAAATTAGTTCAATAGTGCATCTGCACATGCTATTAAGGCCTTTAGTCTCCCAGATTGCATGTAGGAAAGGAAATATTAGGAAATGCTGCAAGACAATTCCAGAAAAATCCTCAAATTATTCCAGAAACAGGCAGTCCAACAATTGCTTCTAGGCACTTTCAGACTTCTTTTAAAGTCACTCTCCTACTTTGAGATGCAGAGGAACCATTAGTACACATACATTTGGAATAATCTCCTTCACATAAGGAGGGAAATTCTAAGACTTCACAGAAGGGAAGTGGTGGCTCAAAATACATTTTGACAAACTTTGTTACAGACTCAGTTCAGTCCAATACCTTGGGATTTGGCTGTATCTGTGCACACAAAGTAAGTCCTTAGTTCTCCCTTTCCTTTGACATTAATGAGTCCCCTACATTCACATGAATATCCCAGTTCCTGTAATATTTTGCTTGTCTCTTCAGTAACCTGAGTGAAACAGAAATAGTGAAATTCTTGTAAAACACCATGGAAATTAACTTTGAGGATTAAGCAATAAAAATGCTAAAAGTAGTTTTCTAGAAACATCTGAATGCCCATCTTTGTACCTGGATTTTTCCAAGTTCACCAGTACTCTCCATCCTGCTGGCGACATTGACAGTGTTTCCCCAGATATCATACTGGGGTTTACGAGCACCAATCACACCTGCTATTACAGGCCCATGGTTTATCCCTACAGAAATAAAAGTACATGCCATTAGAGTTAATATAATTTTGCACTTCAGTAACTCCTTCCAGCAGAGGACCACTTTAGTGATTTATAACCAGCATTGAATAAAGCCTCACTGCACCCTTTGGGGATAAGGAAGTGACTTGCCCAGGGTAACAGGGGAAGTTTGTGGCAGAGCTGAGCATGTCATCCAGATCTCCTATCTCATCGACCTGTGCTTTAAGCAGAAGTCCACCCTTCCTGCACTTCATGTAGAACATTAACAGTCTAACAACAATCCTAGAATTGCCATGTAACGAGCCAACAGCAGCACACTACCCAGCGCTCTCATCACCCCCATATCCAACCAGCAAACACACCATGCTCTCCCTCTCCTCCCCGTTTGCAGCTGCAGCATTATTTTCCCTTTTCCCACACCCAGCACCAGAAACATCCCTGAATATTTCAGGATTATCAGGATGATGAGACTACAGCCACACTCCAAGGTTAGAGGTGGAAGCTTGGCGCATTTAAAAGCTAGACTAGACAATGTTCTCTCTCAGTATTTATATTATGCTTATTACCATAATATCAGTGTTCAGTGTCAAGAATAATTCAGCATTGATCAGTGGCTTGACCATCTAATAATCCTTTTCCAGCTCTAGTTTTTGCAAAGCTTGTAGCATTCACATCCTGTATGAAACTGAACTTACCAACACGTAGGCGGAAATTGTTAAAGGAATGTCTGTTGATGCCATCCAGTTTACTCATCAAGGCAATTCCATACTCCACCATGATCCCAATTTGAGCATGCTGTCTCTCCTGGTCCTAGGTAATTGATAATGGATATTAATGCCTTAATATGCAAGATCATGTCAAGCTCTCAATGTAATGAATGGCAACTGTCCATCTCAAAGAACAATGATGTAAACACCAAAGCAGTTCAGTTACTGTGTGTCATGCTACTGCATCGCGAGTGGTCACTGTAATGCTGGTTTCTGATGAAGTCCAGTACTATCAATTAATTATATATCAATTTATCCATGGCAAGCCCCAGATGAAATAACATACCTTTACACAATCACAGCTCAGTTCAGATGAACATGCACAATAATTAAAATGAATATTAAAGTAAATTGGGTCTGGCTGGCAAACAGAGCCTGCTCTGCTTAGTATTCATAAACCTGGCTCTTTACGTCTCCTTCCAGATTTTAGTGCAGATTTAAAATTATGTGTCCTGTACATGCAGCACATGTATTCTCACTCCTCACACCAAAACCACCTCCTGGTGATGGGCCTGAACCAACAGCCTGGTTTTAATCACCTCTTAGCTACAGGGTGTTTGAAATTTAGATCTGATTTTTGCTACCTGAGTTTATTGTTCTACCATGTTCTCTGCATAGATAACAATTATATTAATCAATTTGCCATCAAATCCTGATTCCAAATCAGACATGGCTGAGGTTGTTCATTCTTTGGTATCACTAGCCACTTGGTACTCCCACCATTCAAGCTATTCTGTTGTGTATCCAGGAGCGTTCAAGCTCCTGGAGTCAAAGATTTTTGAGAATTTAAAGAAAAACAACGTTGGTTTTGGATTTAATATCTGCTCTTGAGGAACAGAACTACAGATAAATGAAAGTTAGTCAAAATCACAGTTTCCCAGTGCTTTGACTCACAGAATAATGTAGGAACAGTTGTAAACAAGAAAACAGCAAATTGATTTTAAAGGAAATAAGCTGACACCAGCTTCACTGGTCTGGTATTAAGGAGTGATGAATTCTCTGCTGTATGTAGGGCTGTAATTCCATTACATGCGACATCTTGGTGACAGTTTAAACCACAGTATTTGTTCTTGACACGAGAACCCAAATATTGCAATTATAGCCTTAATTTTGGAACATTTCAGAAATATATTATTTATAATGTGAAAATACAAAATACAGCCCCAGAATATATTTCCTATCCTCCTCTTCCATAACTGAGACTATGACTGCTGATAATTTCCATCTTCCTTTCCATCCCTCTACACTCTGTCACCTACACAGATCTGAACAAGTAGAATTCTAAATGTGTTTATACTTCCAAAGGGTATCATACCTGGTTGTTCTCTTGGCCTGGTGCGACACTAAGGCCTGCTGCTGCCATGTAAGTGCTTCCAATGGTTTTGATTTTTTCAACACCACTAAATTTAGGTTTTAACAACAGCTGATTGGAAGAAAGAAACTGAATTATAATTTGAGACCTTAATGGCTTATATCCCCATGTGTTCTCACCAATGATCTTGTATTCCCTACCACATACATAAGATTTATCTCTAGATACATTATGTCACTTTATCGCAGAAAACATACATTTTAACAAAGTGTGGAAGATTTCTTTTGCTGCTGTTTCCCTCCACCCACCCCCTTTTTTGGACACACATTATAGAAATGTAGTAAATCCTGCAACCCAGTAATAAAATCTGTGACAGATCGGTATTTGCATCATGAGGAAAAACACTAGGTCTTGTTTATACTGTACTATTAAAGGGTTAGATGGTCTAACCGCATGAGCACATCAGATGGAAATGATTAGAATTTCACTTTCCAAGGCTGTAAGGCTGAACTAAGAATCCTGGTTCATCTTACTAAATTTTTTTCACTTTTCATGGTTCCTACATTGAAACTCTGCTCTAGAAAGACATTTTATATTGTAATCATGTAAATCCAAGCTAGGTTTGCCTGAAACTTGAAATACCTCATCAAAATCAGCAATGATTTCATTCAGCAGCCGCAAGCACTCCAGTCCCTCTTTATTGACATCACATTCGGTATAAAACACCTTAAAATCAGGTACTGATGCAAACATGACACAGACACAGTCATAAGACTGATGGTACCAATCCTGTTGGAAAGCAATAGAAATTTCACAGTTACCCTGTAACCCCACAGTGTATAATCAAAATTGCGTTCAGCTTTTAGTACCTTTAAAAAATAACTACGACTAGAAATGAACCAAGCTAAGCCACTGGAATTCAGCAAAATTATCGGGACCACCATATTTTCGTATTTTTATTGAATCAGAATTCTAAGTGCTGAGAATGAAATCCAATCAGATACCTCCAACTGCATTCTACACAGTGACTGCTCGCTCTGCTCCAATAGCCCCCATCCTCCCAGCTCAGTCAATCCAGTGACTCACTATAGAGGTGTTGGCAGAGTGAGGTGCAGGGTCTAAGAAGCGCCGCTATCAGTGCCCTTTTATCATCTGCCATCAGGGTGCTGCCAAGTGGATGCTGTCTGCCCCTCAACTAGCTCCTTATAGGAATTAAGTGAATCAGCTCTGTCAAAAGGGGTCTTCGGAGAGGTGAATACTAACGTCACTAAACCAATTATTAGTGCCAAAGCCAATGATCATCTCTGATGTGGATTTCCATGCCCCACTCCTGCCAGTGCTAAAAGTCCTCTTAATGCCATGGGGGTAGCAGCTCCTTGGGCTTGGGAAGGCCATGGGATTCTCATATCGTGGACCAAGAAGAGGGAGGAACAGAGGAAGCAAGCAGTAGCTTGTAACCCATTCATGGGCGGTGACGTGGCATTCTCACAGGAGTCTGATTTACCATCCTTCCTATCAGTAGAGTAGATTAAATATACCTCATTTAATTTGTCACCGATGAAATGAGCAGCAACATGTGCTGGAAGGACATTTTCCAGCAAGAGCCTGTTTACGTTCTCCATGGTTTCAAATTGTTCATGTTCTTTTTTAAATTTATTCTTCCACAAGCAATCCAGTCGACAGTAATACTCAATCTGAAAACAAGAATTCATACAGCAAAATAAATCTCCATAGCTCTGAGATAAGAGTTTACAGGTTTCAAATCAAGTGAAAAGGGGGACAGTGACAGCCAAGTTTTGTCAGGACACTTCGGACCCATATGGCCACTGAAATTGTGACTGAAAACCTGCACAAGCATCTGTTTTTGAAAACAGAAGTCACATCTACACAAGTCAACAGCCATTTGTGCATGCGACTGAACTGGCATCAGATGTACACTAGTCCAATTTGCACACAGAATCATAAGACTGGTAGGGACCTTGAGAGATCATCTAGTCCAGTCCCCTGCACTCATGGCAGCACTAAGTATTATCTAGACCAATGGTTCTCAAACTTGGGCTGCCGCTTGTTCAGGGAAAGCCCCTGGCAGGGCGGGCCGGTTTGTTTACCTGCCGCGTCCGCAGGTTCGGCCCATCGCGGTTCCCACTGGCCGCGGTTCGCCTCTCCAGGCCGATGGGGGCTGCAGAAAGTGGCACGGGCCCAGGGACGTGCTGGCCGCCCTTCCTGCAGCCCCCATTGGCCTGGAGCGGCAAACCGCGG